AACATTGGAAAAAAACTGCATCTGTTCTCCTCAAGGATGAATAAATGCTGCTTGAATAAAGAATACTGATCTCATCAACCATGAAGGATTAAACAGATTTTAACAAAGTTGATCCAGAACTACTTTCTTCTAGCTAATGTGCTCTAATCAGACAGACAGACATCATGAGAGGAAGTTTGAAAAAGAAATAAACTTTAACTGGATCAAAGCAGTGAAGAAGAAATCAGACTTTAGCCTGAAGATCCTCAGTGTGGATCAGTAGAATATCAGCCATATGTCTGCAGTTTAGAGTCCACACAACTTTACCATCAGAAATATCAGCACTAAACTAAAACATGGTGACTGACCTCAATGTCTGTAGTTTGCAGAGGGGAGACTGGAGAAAACTACAGAGCTGCTTCACTCCACCATCTTTCAGGTTGTTGCTGCTCAGGTCCAGTTTTGTCAGATGGGAGGGGTTGGACTTCAGAGCTGAGACCAGAGAAGCACAGCTGATCTCTGACAACCAGCATCTCCTCAATCTGAATAAAGAATAAAAGACTGGTTGAAGCAACTGGAGAGACAAGTTAAAACAAAAATAATGAACATTAAGATAATGGATATATTTATTTAGATACTATATAGTATTTTAAATAAAGTTTATGAATTATTGAGTGCAGAGAACATTATTTTCCATCCGGAAAGAGAAATTGAATTGTTAGATAATCAGAATCAGAATTACTTTAGTAATCCCTGGAATGACATTATTTACTTGCAGTGCACCCATTTATAGAAGAGAGAAAAGTAGTTCTGGATAATGCTGCAACCCCACACTGAAATTCAACTAATTGTTTAATGCTTCCTGCTTATTATTGAATAAATCACGAGAGGAAGTTTGAAAAAGAAATATACTTTAATTGGATCAAAGCAGTGAAGAAGAAATCAGACTTTAGCCTGATGATCCTCAGTGTGGATCAGTAGAATATCAGCCATATGTCTGTAGTATAGAGTCAACACAACTTTACCATCAGAAATATCAGCAGTAAACTAAAACATGGTGACTGACCTCAATGTCTGTAGTTTGCAGAGAGGAGATTGGAGAAAACCAAAGAGCTGCTTCACTCCACCATCTTTCAGGTCGTTTCTGCTCAGGTCCAGTTCTGTCAGATGGGAGGGGTTGGCCTTTAGAGCTGAGCCCAGAGAAGCACAGCTGATCTCTGACAAACTGCAGCAAATCAATCTGAATAAAGAATAAAAGAGGTGTTGGAGCTGCTGTGATGAGTGGTAAGCATTCAGGGGTCCAGGCGAGAATCAGAGAGAAAGCCAAATTTGCATTTTACATCCACTGCAGTGCTCACTGCCTTAATTTAGTGCTAGTTGATTCTGTCAAAGCAGTACCAGAAGCAGAGGAATTCTTTGCGTTTTTGCAGTCTTTATGTTTTCACTTCTGGCTCATATGTGCATGCCAAATGGCTGGCTGTACAAACTGAAATGTATGGCAGCACAAGAGAGCTCCAAAAATTAAGTGACACAGGGTGGGCTTGTCGGTTCATCGCCCTACGTCACATAATGCACAGATTACCTGCCCTAAAATGTGTCCTACAAGAGATGGCACTAGAGCACAGGGGAGAAAAGTCTTCTGAGGCCCGTGGTCTTCTGGCCCTGATTGACCTAGAGTTTGATGTGCATCTAGTTACGCTTGGTAAATTGTTTGGGGAAACCAAGCTTCTTTCAGATATGCTGCAGTCATCAACTGTTGACCTCTCAAGAGCAGCAGATTTAGTGGAAGGTTTGGTTCAGACTTTGACAGATTTCAGGCAACAGTCCTTCTTTGACAACCTGTGGGGTGAAGTATTAACCGTCTGTGAGCAGTGTGATGCTGCCACCCAGTCGTTGGCAAAACAACAAAGAACAAAAAGTTCAAAACTCTGTGAGTACCACGTACTAAGCTCTGTTGGTCAGAGGGAGCAAGTATGTGATAAAGAAACTTATCGGTCCTCTTTCTTTTATCCTGTCATTAACTGCAAGCTTAGTGCATGCATTTCTAAAAGACACAACTCTGTTTGAATTTGGCTGTCTTTATGATGCCAATATTGAGGATCTGGGACCTGAACTCCATAAGTTCAGGAGACTTTTAGAAAGAAAACTAGAGAGTCACGAAATTGGAAACCCTTCTTATACAGTGGAGTTCATCCGTTTCATTGAGCCGTACAAAGACGTATTTTGCTAGCTTTTTAGACTGTGAAAAATTGCTGTTGCACTCCCAGTGAGTTCTGCCACCTGTGAGAGGAGTTTTTCTACAATTAGTGAAAACCTACCTCAGGTCCACTATTACTGATGAATGTCTCAGCAGTTTAGGGATGCTAAGCATTGAATCCAGAAGGGCAAAGGTTTTGGATCTTGATGCATTTGTGGACTATTTTGCACAAAACCACAAACGCAGAATACTTTTTTTTGTAATGTTGCAGGATTTGGTATTGCCAGTGCACGAGCATGAGAGATTACTGAAATAAAAAATTTGACTGTTAGTCTCCTAAATGTTAGTGTACAGGTTTGTGAAAGTTTCTGAAGGTTTATTGTTCTCATGTGTTGTATGTGAAATATTTTGAATAGAAATTTTTTGTTTCATTGGTGCTCTAAATAAACAAAAAAGTTGTTTAAAAAAAGATTGTCATTTTTTTCATTCTTCTTTCTGTGCCCATGTGAAAAAACAATGGCCCCACCTTGGCCCCACTGGAAATGTTTTCCTAGAACTGCCCCTGAACTGGAGAGACAGGTTAAAATTAAAATAATGAACATTAAGATAATGGAATATTTATTTGGATAAAATATAATATTTTTTGGTAGAAATCAAATAAAGTTTCCAAACCAGCTCTTGTGAGGTGAAAGAACATACAGTTTACTAAGTATTGAGTGCAGAGACAGCTGAGCAGGGGCGGAGCTAGAAGGGGGAACAGGGGTGGCCATGGCCAGCCTTAGCCAATCATTGGCTACCCCTACCATTTTTTTCCCTCTACTACAGATGATGGCAGCAGTAATACTCTCATGTAGAATATTCAAAACATTTTAATTTTTCATATATTACTTACTATTTTTTCATATATGAATAATTACTTGACAACAACAAGACTGTGGTTAATTATACATATCAATATACTAACATTAAAGATAATAAGTACAGAATTCAGGCCTTTTCTCAGAACTAGATTTGTGTTTTATGGGATAAAGAGAAAATGATGTGTCTGCATTCATCTAGGAGTCTTTATTGAAAACAGAGATAAATAACTATTTATAAAAACTTAACTAATCAATTTAGACAATGTAGACATTAGTATTTGTTAATATCAATTTTATACAGAATGATTATTGATAAAAGGTAATTAATGACAATGGAAAAGATGTTCACTCCAGAACTTAAACCTTTAATCTAGAAAGCACGTATGTTTAAATATATGTGTCTATTTGTTAGCAAAGGCTTTAGGAAAGTATAGTTTGTCTTATCTTTGGCCTGACCCTGAGGTTCTAGTGTCTATACGCTTTAGGCCACCCTTCTGTGTTCATTGGTTATTGCCTGGAAATCCTCCAAATTTCCTGGTTACGCCTCTGCAGCTGAGAGCAAAAAGGATGAAGAGAGAGCGTCGACCCGCTGAGTGGAGCACGAGAGCTAGTTTCAAAGATGGATGACAGAGCAGAGTTTCTCCAAGTTTAAAGCGCAACACCCATCTATTGAAAAGCGTATGGGAGGTTTAACCACAGCACACTAAGATCAGATGGTAATGGTGCGCTAAAGATGGTGTCACAAAAGAAATACAGAATTATGAAAACATAACAGATTTAAATCCTTTCTTTGTTTACCTGTTCCATGGTGGCTCTTTCTGTCCACTGTGAGCCACCATAGGAGAATTGTTATCTTCCTTCTTTCTTTAATGCCAACTCTCCTCTGTGACAACTCTAAAAGGTATCAGCACTGAGAGCCAATAAAACATGGATGAGTGCCGCTTCCAGAAAACTCCTCTTTGGTCATAGCCTCATGCCTGTGTTGCCTTCACTGGAGCTGGGAAATTACAAAACTACTTATTTATTATCGTAGGGTGTTTGTAGGGACAAACTGGATTTGACAAAATCTTAACTTTGTCTAAGTTAAGATGGCTGTCCATTGCTTTTACAGAATGATCCAGATAACCCAGGTGTAAAGGTAGGCTCTCTGAAGTGCCTCCAAAAGCATAACTTTCGTCTTTTTTTCATTAAAATGTAAAAAGTTTAAATCCATCCATGCTTTCACAACATCCAAACATTTCAGAAGAGATTCAACAGTTTTTGTTTTACCTCAGCAGGAGATCTGACTATCGTCTGCATTAAAGTGAAACTAAACCCCATGTTTCCTAAGGATCCAAGCGGGAATAGATAAAGAGTAAAAAGAAGGTAGCCTAAAACAGAACCCCGAGGAGCTCCATATTAAAGAGGAGCAGTAGAAGACACAGAATTTCCCAGACTGACACAAAATGTTCAATGACTTTGAAAGGATCTAAACCACTGCACTGCTCTTCCTCAGATCCCCACCCAATGATCCAAACCAGATAACAGGATATTATGACCCACTCTATCAAAGGCTGCTTTCACTGGCCAGGAACATTTTAAAGCAAGCAGAAGCAGATAAACCTGGGGACATTTTCACAGGTTTTAGTGCTTGATGTGAATGCACCAATTGATAAAATTATTTTCCCTCTGGAAAAAGAGATTAAATCGTAAAATAATCAGAATCAGAATTACTTTAGTAATCCCTGGATTGACATTATTTACGTACAGTGCACCCATTTACAGAAGAGAGGAAAATAGTTCTGGATAATGCTGCAACCCCACACTGAAATTCAACTCATTGTTTCATGTTTCCTGCTTAATATTAAATAAATCATGAGAGGAAGTTTGAAAAAAAAAAAACTCTAACTGGATCAAAGCAGTGAAGAAGAAATCAGACTTTAGCCTGAATATCCGCAGTGTGTATCAGTAGAATAATAGCCATATATCTGCAGTTTAGAGTCAACACAACTCTACCATCAGAAATATCAGCACTAAACTTAAACATGGTTACTGACCTCAATGTCTGTAGTTTGCAGAGGGAAGACTGGAGAAAACCACAGAGCTGCTTCACTCCACCATCTTTCAGGTCGTTGTCGCTCAGGTCCAGTTCTGTCAGATGGGAGGGGTTGGACTTCAGAGCTGATACCAGAGAAGCACAGCTGATCTCTGACAAACTGCAGCCATTCAATCTGAATAAAGAATAAAAGACATGTTGAAGAAACTGGAGAGACAGGTTAAAACTAAAATAATGAATTAAAATGAAGAAAAATAATTTGACTGACAGCTAAAGTCCCAGAAAAAAGATCAAGTTAAAGTAATAAACCAAGCAGAAGCAGAACATGTTCTAATGATGTGTGAAGGTCCAGATTAAGGTGTGTTTATTAGTTTTTAACAACTTTTTTCTCTTTCTTTTGGCATGAACTTTTGCTCTTCTTTCAAAAGAATAAAAGATGGTGGCACCTCAAGTCAATAGCCAAGAACAGCTATTGACAATTTCATGGAATATGCCATTCAAAACGCTACAAACCAGGCATCGATCCTGTATCCATGACCGCCAACGCCTGCTGGAGCTACATTCACAAAATGTTTCAAATACAGACATTCTTGACCGTTTGAAAAGCTATAGAGTGCTACGAACAAATGTAAACAAAACAACAGTGGGCTCACTTACTAAAATGGAAATTTCTTTAGAGCTGTACTAAACAAAACTTATTTTTGTATAAACTCTGTGTGTATAAAATGACAATAAAGTCTGTCTAAGTCTAAGTTTTAGTTTAGACCCAGAAACTAGTGGCGCATATCTGCTTCCTTTCAGTGCTGAATATTTGCTTAAACCCTCAGTCTGTCCTGATAGATGGCTGCTTACACTGAGCCAGATTCTGTGTGAAGTTTCTTTTAAGTTCAAATAAAGCTTTGCTCTACATTGTCCCTACAACCTTTCTTGTCAAAAGGGTTTAATGGATAAGTTGAATCCAAATGCTTATTGTCCACTGTGGCTCCATGCTGAAGGAAGAGTGAATGCTGCATGTCAACTACTGGCTGTTTTCTGCTGGGTTAACTCAGATTTAAAAAATGCATGGACGAGTGTGTACAATAATCCAAACTCTTTTTGATTGATGCTATCACTTCAAATATTGAGTTTATTTGACCTTTTTTCAAATGCTTTGACATGATGTGTTTTAAATTTGAAAATTGACACAGTTTAAATGATAAAGTATTTAGCTGAATTAGGTTTCAGTCCCGTTTAGATCTTTTTTGTGGTTTTCCCTTTCCAAAGAAAATCATACATGACAAACATTGCTTGAACTCAGACATACAGGTGAATTCAGAATGTAACTTTACCGTACAGCTTAAGTACTCAGCTCTTGAAATCATTTTATTCAGACTGTGAACAGTTTGAAATTAATCTTAAATACCCTATTGAGCCGATGTGAGAAGTGAATTTCTCCACTGTGGGATCAAAAAGTTTGTCTTGTCTTACCCTCTCTCAATATTTCTTCAAGATCTGGCATGACATAGCAATCCACTACTTTAGGAAGTCACTGTATGTGTGGTGAATATGCAGAGCTGAAGTAATTAGACTTTTTGTTAGGGTTCCAGTTTGTGTGGTTTGTTTTTCTGTGTTTTTTTTTCCCTCAAGGGACATTCCATTGAAATCTATGTCCAGAAGGTTATCTCCCGGCTTCATTGGTCCATATAAGGTGGATAGGATCATTGTGTCATGAACGAGGTGTTTGTATGGAGGACCCAAACACAGAGAACGGTAGGCAGAGGTGAAATAAAGTCTGTTTATTCAGGTTAACAGATCCAGGGGCAGGAATCAGAGTCCAACAGAAAATTACAGACGTACCAGAACCAGGAGACATCAGGGATTGACCAAAGCCAGAAGTCAGGGAGAAACGAGACAAGGCAGGCAGATGACAGACAGGAAGTAAGACGAGATGTTTGACGAGTCTCCAGCAGACAGGAACTGAAGAGAGAGGGCTTTTAAAGGGGACAGAGACAAAGAGAGAGCTGACAAGGAAATTGGTAACAGGTGCTGGCAGGAAAAGAGAAACAGAGCAAGGGAGGACACAAGAGGGCAGCAGAGGACAACAAATGGATAACCAAGGAAAACAGGAACAAACAGACCAAGACCCTGACACATTGGCCCTTCAGCTGTCCGTCTGCGCCTGCCCACCTCTCTCAGAAACAATCCCACTTTTCATGTCTCACAGTTTAAGCCGGTTCACTCCAGTCCCTTGTGCCCTCCTGCTGAGCAACCTCCCCCTTTGGATATTGATGGCCATTGGGCCCAGGATTTTACGTTATTACACCATGTTCTACTCACCCATATGAGTTTTGTGTCATTTGGAGCTGTTCCAAATATATTCGGTTAGGTTATATCCAAGTAACATCTTCCTATGGGCAAGTGACAAGAAGGCACTAACAAAACTGTTCATAATTTATTCTTTGCTACGCCAGCATTCATAACATGTAGGCAAATCACTGTCCCCCAGACATCCGTGGTTATATTATTTATATTAATATCTTTTTAAAACAAAGCGAAGTGTGTATGACGTCATCTGCGCGCCGGACTGGAGTTGTTACAGGCAGCCCGGGCCACAGGCGGCTATGCCCTACCCCTTCCATTGGTTCGGCTAGCTAAACTGAATCGCTGAATTCTATTTTGAGAGTGAAATCATCTGTGGTAGTAGCACTAGACATCTTCCAGGCATGTGAGTAAAACTAGCAGGAGGTTAGCGGATGAATGAATGGTAGCCAGCGTGCACGATGAAGTCATCCAGGTTTAGTGCTTCCTCCTCCTGGTTTGAAACAGCTTTCCACCATAGCTCCAGCAGTTCTTGGCAATCATAGATGCGGGTTAGATGTCTAGTCAGTATCATGTAAGCTGCATATTATATGAACTCAAAATGCAGCACGAGATCAGGATTTCTAAAACTCTGTGAACAAAACCAAGCAGTTTTCCTTTCTAGATCCCAGCTGCAGCTGAAAGTTTGTGTCCCAGGCTCAACCTCATGCTCTGGCCTCTTCAAGCCTCCATCCAAGCAAAAATGGTCCATCAAAGCACAGCATGGATGTCATTGTGTATTTAAATGAGCCAGCTGATCAATGTCACTTCATGGTTCTCTGGGCTGCATCTCCGTCCACAAACCAAGAAGAAATCCCTCAGAGGAACCTGAGAGCTTTAAGGTTGGAGCCTTCAGTTCATGTCCTGACATAGAAAGCAAAGCTGAAGATGGCAGAGTCACGTTTAAAGGCCTAATTGACTGATGGAGTTTCTCACAGAGCAAAACTGGGTCTCTGTTGAACCTGAGCGCCTAAGGAGAAATGCTGCTGTTCTTTCTCTAGTTTACCCCCCAAAAGAGGGGACAATCTGCAGTACACCTTAAACAGAACGTTGAATGACGTCAAGATGTGCTCAGCTCAGAAATACATCCATGGATTAAACCAGGCATCCCCAAACTCGGTCCTCAATGCCCCCTGTCCTGCAGGTTTTAGAGGTTTCCTTGCTCCAGCACAGCTGATTTTAATTGAAAGCTGATTATCAGGCTTTTGGTCTACTGCAATCATTATAACCAGCTGTGCTGAAGCAAGGAGACCTCTAAAACCTGCAGGACAGGGGGCCTTGTGTTGGGATCTGGAGGCTTTAACCACTTTCTCCGCCAGAGGGTGCACGAGATCTCCTGGGGGCATGAGCTGACTGCAACACCTGTCTTCCATCTGCTCATTAGGAAGCCCTATTTAAAGAGGAGGAGGCTAACACTTCCCTGCCAGACAGTTTGCCAGTAATGGTAGAGCTAGACCTGAGCCAAACAACCAGATCTGAGTCTCTGACTTTTGTGAACCTGCCTGACCCTGTTTCTCTCTGCCTCACAGATTGAGTCCTGTCTGAAGACCTGAAATCCTGGAGAGTGATCTCTGTCTGGAATCTGCCTGCCTGCACTCAGTGAAATCTTGGAGAGTAATCTCTGTCTGGAATCTGCCTGCCTGCACTCAGTTAAGCCTCTGCCCTCAGCCCTCTGCCTGACGACTAGCCTCTGGACCCAAAAGGTTCCCCCCTGCAGCTCTGCTCCACCCTTGAGCAGGTTTAAACTCCAACATCAGAAAACCTGCAGTTAACCTGGATCAACACTAACCTCTCTTTCCTCCTCAGTGGTGTTCCCCTCGTGACCTGTCTGCCGAACCAAGGACCAGTTCATACTCATTGTATATTTTGTAAATAAACCTTTGAAATTTTTCCCTGTCTCACGAGTGTTTCAGCATGTGGATTAGATGCCTTGAACCCAACATGACAACTTGAGGACCGAGTTTGGAGATGCCTGGATTAAACTAAATGACACATCAGGGTTTTTTATTTCTTCTATCTTCCTCTTTATCAGCAGTTTTTTTTTCTTTGTAATCACACCATTTGACCAGAAGCCATAAAGACAAGGGAGAAATTCTCTGGAAGAATCTCCAGATGGGCAGGGACACTAAAGCCTAACAATGCCTGCACCTTCCAGTCCGGATCCATCTAGCCTTTCTGGATCTGCTACTAAGAGATTCAGCAGCAGCACCGGGAGCTCAGAGCCTCACACAGAGGAGTAGAACGGGAGAACCAAGTGTCCTCTCCAGGGCTGAAATCTTAGAGAGGTTCTGGGATTCTTCCTGCGTTCCACACTGCTGCCCATGTTGGCTCAACATCACCAAATAATGTTGCTGGGAATGGGAGTGGAAATTTCATGCATTATCAGCTCTAAATTCACTGGATTCTGGGAAGTTCTGGATAATGATGCAACCCCACACTAAAATTCAACTAATTGTTTCATGTTTCCTGTTTATTATTAAATAAACCATGACAGGAAGTTTGAAAAAGAAATAAACTTTAGCTGGATCAAAGCAGTGAAGAAGAAATCATACTTTAGCCTGAAGATCCTCAGTGTGGATCAGTAGAATATCAGCCATAAGTCAGCAGTTTAGAGTCAACACAACTTTACCATCAGAAATATCAGCACTAAACTAAAACATTGTGACTGACCTCAATGTCTGTAATTTGCAGAGGGGAGACTGGCGAAAACCACAGAGCTGCTTCACTCCACCATCTTTCAAGTCATTGTTGTTGCTCAGGTCAAGTTCTGTCAGATGGGAGGGGTTGGACTTCAGAGCTGAGTCCAGAGAAGCACAGCTGATCTCTGACAAACTGCAGCCAAGCAATCTGAATAAAGAATCAAAGACGTGTTAAAGCACTGGGAGAGACAGGATAAAACTGTAATAATAAACATTAAGTTAATGGAATATTTATTTGGATAATATATAGTATTTTTTTGGTAGAAATTCAATAGTTTCATAAACCAGCTTAGATAAGGTTGAAGAGCACAAGTTTATTAAATATTGAGAGCAGAGACAGCTGAGGGAAAAAAGGATGAAGAGAGAGCATTGATCTGCTGAGTGGAGCATGAGAGCTAGGTGCAAAAATGGATGACAGAGCAGAGTTTCTCTAAGTTTAAAGCGCACCACACACCTATTGAAAAGCGTGTGGGAGGTTAAACCACAGTACACGGGAGGTGTTTTCACGGATGAGGGGAGAAGGGCCTAGCCATATGGTCATTTGGTGCATGGCGTGTGTTTCGAAGTCACTTGTGGAGAAATGTCCTGGGCCGTGAGTAGGGAGGAAACAGGAAGCGATTCTTGTGGTGTGGAAGAAGGAAATAGTGACAATGAAGAAAATTGGAAGAGGGTAGCGCCAAAAATTTGAAAACGCAGAAAAAGCAGAGATCAATTGAAGGGGAGTCCAGTTCAGAACAGTCAGGTGATGATTTTACAAAATGGAATCCAGTTCACTTAACAAAATCCATAAATAAACTTGTAGGAGAAGTCAGAGGTGCCAGAATCCTCTATAGTGGAGATCTGTTAATAAACTGCAGAGACAGCACTCAAAAAGGCAAAGCAATATGGATTAACAAGATTGAGGGGATAAGAGTTCAGTGCAGCTTGGTGGAGAACAAAAAGAATAGCAGGGGAGTCATCTGAGGAGGTCCTCTAAAAGTTTCTGAAAAAGAAATTCTAGAAAACATAAGCGGTGCAAAAGTAAAAGAAGTGAAACGGTTATAAAACAACAAGAAAAAGAGAAAGATCTGACAGTTTATTTGTGTTAATTGAATTTAGAGAAGAGCAATTACCCAGCAAAGTGTTAAGTGGTTCCATGAGCTACAATGTTAAAATTTACAATCCTCCGCCCCTGAGATGCTTCAAATGCCAGAAATTTTAACATAAAGCAGCAGTATGCAAAGGAAAACAGAGATGTGGAAGGTGTGTATGAGAGCACGAATATGGAAAATGTGGGAAAGAAGCTTAGATCAAATGCTGTAACTGTGGTGGAGAACATACTGCTGCATATCTCGGGCCTGAAGTGAGTAAAAGGTCCGAGGAAATTAAAAAACTGAAATTTGAGCTCAGAATAACTTACGCTGAAGCTCCAAAATGGATCCCAGCCCAGTCAGAAAAACAAAAACCAACAGTTCAGCACATGGCAAACTCAAAACCTCTGGAACAGCGTCTCAAAATTGAAGAAGATTCACTGATTGTTAAAAAGAAAGATTTTGTCCTTTTCATGATTGAAGTGATCAATTGTAGTGCACAGACGACAAGAAAAACTGAAAAAAATCAAAATAATAGTGAAAGCTACGGAAAGTATCTTGAAGTTAAAGATTTAAATTGGGAAATGATTGAAAGCATGATGGGAAAACCAATAGGACCATCAGAAACTGGGAAAGTGACAATGACTTAATGACAAATAAAGAAAATTATGAGGGCAAATGTGATTAGGTATTTGTTATGTTGGGTTAAGTTAAACAGTTTTTTTTGTCTCTAGGATGAGTCGTTTCCTGTTTCCTTACTTTACTCCATATCAGTTGGTGGCGGCAATGCACTTTTCGCCAACCGCCATTACGTAACAAGAAGAAGAATAAGAACTACAGCACACTATGATCAGATGGTAACAGTGCGGTGAAGATGGTTTCACAAAAGAAATACAGAATTATGAAAACATCACAGCTTTAAATCCCTTCTTTATTTACCTTTTCCATGGTGGCTCTTTCTGTCCACTGCCAGCCACCATAGGAGAATTATTATCTTCCTATTTTTTTTAATGCCAACTCTCCTCTGTGACAACTCTAAAAGGTATCGGCATTGAGAGCCAATAAAACATGGATGAGTGCCACTTCCAGAAAACTCCTCTTCGGTCATAGCCTCATGCCTATGTTGCCTTCACTGGAGCTAGGAAATTACAAACTGCTCATTTAGTATCTTACAGAGTTTTTAGAGACAAACTGGATTTCACAACAGCTTAACCTTGTCAAAGTTTAGATGGCTGTCCATTTTAAATCCTAAGTTTGTGGCCATTGGTTTTACAAAATGATCCAGATAACCCAGGTATAAAGGTAAGCTCTCTGAAGTGCCTCCGAAAACCATCATTTTAATTTTTTTTTTCATTAAAATGTATGTTTAAACATTAAAATGTTTAAAGCCATCCATGCTTTCACATCATCCAAACATTTCAGAAGAGATTCTACAGTTTTTTTTTTCACCTTAACAGAAGATCTGACTATCGTCTGCATCAAAGTGAAAAGAAACCCCATGTTTCCTAAGGATCCCAGTGGGAGCAGATAAAGAGTAAAAAGAAGGGAGCCTAAAACAGAACCCTGAGGAACTCCATATAAAAGAAGACCAGAGGAGGACAAAGTATTTCCCAGACTGACACAAAATGTTCAATGACTTTGAAAGGATCTGAACCAGTGCATTGCTCTTCCTCGGATCCACACCCAATGCTCCAAACCAGATATAAGGATATTTATGCCCACTGTTTCAAAGGCTGCTTTCACTGGCCAGGAAGATTTCAAAGCAAGCATAAGCAGACAAACCTGCTGACATTTCACATGTTTTACGGTTTGGTGTGAATGCACCAATTGATCAAATTAGTCAACTGTAAGAACATAATTTTCCCTCTGGAAAGAGAGATTGAATTGTAAAATAATCACAATCAGAATTATTTTAGTAATCTCTGGAATGACATTATTTACTTGCAGTGCACCCATTTACAGAAGAGACAAAAATAGTTCTGGATAATGCTGCAACCCCACACTGAAATTTAAAACTTTAACTGGATCAAAGCAGTGAAGAAGTAATCAAACTTTAGCCTGAAGATCCTCAGTGTGGATCAGTAGAATATCAGCCATATGTCTGCAGTTTACAGTCAACACAACTTTACCATCAGAAATATCAGCACTAAACTAAAACATGGTGACTGACCTCAATGTCTGTAGTTTGCAGAGGGGAGACTGGAGAAAACCACAGAGCTGCTTCACTCCACCATCTTTCAGGTCGTTGTTGCTCAGGTCCAGTTCTGTCAGATGGGAGGGGTTGGAGTTCAGAGCTGAGACCAGAGAAGCACAGCTGATCTCTGACAAACTGCAGTAATTCAATCTGAATAAAGATTAAAAGATGTGTTGAAAAAAACTTGAGAGACAGGTTAGAAACTAAAATAATGAATTAAAATGTAGAAAAATAATTTGACTGAGAGTTTAAGTCCCATAAAATTATCAAGTTAAAGTAGTAAACCAAGCAGAAGCAGAATATGTTTTAATGACGTGTGAAGGTCCAGATTAAGGTGTGTTTATTAGCTTTTAACAACTTTTTCTTCTCTTTCATTTGGTATTAACTTTTGCTCTTCTTTGAAAAAAAAATTAAAAGATGGCTGCGCCTCAAAGCAGCGGCCAAGAACATTTCTCGACAATTTCTTGGAATATGCCGTTCAAAACGCTACAAACCAGACATCAATCCTGTATCCATGACCGCCGATACCTGCTTGGAGCTACGTTCGCAAAATGTTTCAAATACAGACATTCTTGATCATTTAAAGAGCTGCAGAGTGCCACAGACGGATGTAAACAAAACAACAGCGGGATCACTTACTAAAATGGAAACTTCTTTAGAGCTGTATTGAACAAAACTTCTTTTTGTATAAACTCTGTGTGTACAAAATGACCATAAAGTCTGCCTAAATCTAAGTTTAAGTCTAGACCCAAAAACTAGTGGTGCATATCTGCTTCCTTTTAGTGCTAAATATTTGCTTAAACCCTCAGTCTGTCCTGATAGATGGCTGCTTACACTGAGCCAGATTCTGTAGGAAGTTTCTTTTAAGTTCAAATAAAGATTTGCTCTACATTGTCCCTGCAACCTTTCTTGTGAAAAGGGTTTAATGGAAAAGTTGAATCCAAATGCTTATTGTCCACTGTGGCTCCATGCTGAAGGAAGAGTGAATGCTGCATGTCAATTACTGGCTGTTTTCTGCTGGGTTAACTCAGATTTAAAAAATGCATGGAACGAGTTTGTACAATAATCCGAACTTCAAAGTGTTTTTGATTGATGCTATCAATTCAAATATTGAGTTTATTTGACCTTTTTTAAAATGCTTTGACATGATGTGTTTTAAATTTGAAAATTGACACAGTTTAAATGATAAAGTATTTAGCAGAATTAGGTTTCAGTCCCGTTTAGGTCTTTTTTGTGGTTTTCCCTTTCCAAAGAAAATCATACATGACAAACATTGCTTGAACTCAGACATACAGGTGAATTCAGAATGTAACTATACTGTACAGCTTAAGTATTCAGCTCTTGAAATCATTTTAGTCAGACTGTGAACATTTTGAAATTAATCTTAAATACCCTATTGAGCAGATGTGAGAAGTGAATTTCTCCACTGTGGGATCAAAAAGTCTATCTTGTCTTACCCTCTCTCAATATTTCTTAAAGTTCTGGCATGACATAGCAATCCACTACTTTAGGAAGTCACTGTATGTGTGGTGAATATGCATTACTGAAGTAATTAGACTTTTTGTTAGGGTTCCAGTTTGTGTGGGTGGTTTCTCTGTGTTTTTTTCCTCAAGGGACATTCCATTGAAATCTATGTCCAGAAGGTTATCTCCCCGCTTCATTGGTCCATATGAGGTGGATAGGATCGTTGGCCCTTCAGCTGTCCGTCTGCGCCTGCCCACCTCTCTCAGAAACCATCCCACTTTTCATGTCTCACAGTTTAAGCCGGTTCACTCCAGTCCCTTGTGCCCTCCTGCTGAGCAACCTCCCCCTTTGGATATTGACGGCCATCCTGCCTACACGGTTCGCCAGATTGTGGATGCCCGCCGCCGCGGTCGGGTTTAGTAGTACCTGGTGGACTGGGATGGTTATGGTCCTGAGGACCTCTCTTGGATTCCGGGCAACCTTTATTTTGGACCCTACTTTGATCTCTGACTTTCGTTCTTCTCAGCCCTCTGTTTCCACCAGGTGGCGGTCATTTTTGTCAACCTCTCAATAAACCTGTTAACTTTTCCCCTGGCTCTCTGAGTGAATCTCTGCATGTGGGTGAGATCTTTAAAACCCATCATGACACTTTAGCTTAGTTTTTGAGTATTAGGATGTTACTGTTTGAACAAATCTTTAATGTACTCAGAAAGATTTACCATATATCTAATTATTTCTTTATTTTAAAAAAATAAATCAATTATAAAAATATGACATCCTGTAAATGGTACATGTTGCACAATATTTAAAATATATATATTACATGTCTTAAGCCCCTTAAGTAGTAATATGTTTTTGGAAACATGAAACCTGCTACTTCTATCAATGAAGCAGATGGTAGGAATTTGAACATAGCAATAACTTGGACAATAGGCATCGTCCTTGCCCCAAAGACAACACTGGGGAACAATAGTCTGGAGAAGTGGGGGGAAAAAGGAGGAAAGAAGGAGAAAAAAGAAAAGAAAAAGGAGAAATTTGCCGGTTCTAATCCTGCTTGGGACATGCATCAATCCATGCAAACATTAACAAAGTGATCCAAATCTATCAAATATAGCTTTAAAACTTATACAAATACAATTGTTCACTGTAATAATAGAATTTGTGTCATGGTTTTCGTTATATTGTGCTTTAGTTTGCTCTATGTACCCTAGTTTCATTGGTTTAATTCCTTTTTAGTTGTAATTTCTGGATTTGTTAGTTCTCATGTTTTTCTGTTGTCCTCTGTAGCCCTCTTGTGTGTGTGTTTTCCTTTCTCCTTGGCTCCCTCGTTGTCTCCTCTCACACCTGCTCCTTGTCAGCTCGTTAGCCTTACCTTTGTCTCTGTCAGCTATATATGCTCTCCCTCTGCTCTCACTCTTTGTTGGTTCCTTGTTGTTGCTGGTCCTGTCGTCGCCGTTGTCCTCTCACCTCCTCTCTCCCTGGCTCCTTGTGCTTGTTTTCCCTTGATGTCTCCATAGTTCTGGTCTGTTACATTTTTTTTTATTTTTGGATTCCTGCTTTGTTAACCATTTTCATAATTAAAAACTACAAATTCACCTCAGCCTCTCTGCCTCTGCATTTGGGTCTTCAAAACCACAACCAAAACGTGAGAGAAGGAACCAACCAAAACCTGGACCCAGCAGAGCCAAACAAAATAAGAGATTTCCTTTCTCTGCTGATCTCTACATTGGACAACCTACCTCTGATCAGCCCGCCTTGGAAGTGGGTGAGTGCAGCAAGGCAGGTAAAGGAGAAACTGGAGAAATTTCCTGACTTCCAGACTTTTTCCTTTAAACTGGTTACATTGCTGTAGCTGAGTGGAACATACAGGATGCTTTTGCTCAGCTACTCAATAGACCTTCACTCCGTGACATTCCTGTGCAGTCAATCATCTCCGACCCTTTTCCTCCACCATCACCAGTTGTTGCCCTCCTCCTGCCATCTGCTTCCTCCAGATGTAGGAACCGACGCTGGGGAAAAAGGGCCACTCCCTCTCCGGCGGGTCAGCCTGACGCCTCCACTCCCTCTCTGGCGGGTCAGCCTGACGCCTCCACTCCCTCTCCAGCGGGTCAGCCTGACGCCTCCACTCCCACGGGGCAGCCAGATGCTAGCCTTAGCTCCCCTCATAACCATGTCAGTTTCTCCCTTGGTCTCAGTCGTCACCTCCATGACCAACAGCTAGCCTCATCTTTAAAAAAACTCAAACCAGTGTCCATTATTACACCCCCTGCAGTCAGAGCTCCCCATCTAGAGGAGTCTCAATTATGGGCCTTCTTTTATGGGGAGAGGGAAGATCTTTTCCCTTTGCTGCCACCTCCATCAGCTTCTAGCCAGTCAGGTTCCCTAGCTCAAGTGCCCATTAGCGGGACAGTTTCCCTAGCTCCAGTACCCATTAGCAGGACAGTTTCCCTAGCTCCAGTGCCCATTAGCTGACCAGCTTCCCTAGCTCCAGTGCCCATTAGCAGGCCAGTTGCCCCAGTGCCTGAGCCCATTAGCGGGGCAGTTGCCCCAGTGCCTGAGCCCATTAGCAGGGCAGTAAGCCAAGCCCCCGAGACCCCTGAGCCAGCTCTGTGCTGTCCAGAGACCCCTGAGCCAACTAACAAAAGGTCCTCGGAGTTAAAGCTTGGGAGTTCATCCCCCAAGAGCCCTCAGCGGGAGCTCCAAGCCTCCAAGAGCCCTCAGCGGGCGCTCCAAGCCTCCAAGGGCCCTCAGCGGGCGCTCCAAGCCTCCACGGCCCCTCAGCGGGCGTGCCGAGCCTCCATGGCCCCTCAGCGGGCGCTCCAAGCCTCTTCCGAGGCTGTTCCTGAGCCACAGTCGGTGGCCCCCAAGGTGGCTGCTGCCACTGCGTCAGAGACGGCGGCGGCGCTGGCCTCCTCCAGAGACCCCCCTTCATCAGAGACGGCGTCGCCGCCGGCCTCCTCCAGAGACCCTCCTTTGTCAGAGACGGCGTCGCCATTGGCCTCCTCCAGAGACCATACCATACCAACTTTATTTATGAAGCACTGCCTGCCTCGCCGCCCACTCCGCGGCCAGCCCCCAGAGACCCTGCCTAGCCACTGGCCCCGCGGCACTCTGCCTTGCCTCCGGCCCCACGGCCGGCCTCGAGAGACCCTTCCTCACCTCCGGCCCCGCGGAGTTGAGGCAGGGTCCCTGGGTGGGTTGTTTTGTTTTTTGGACTCTGACTTTTGGTTTTGTGTTTTGAACAATAGATCCAGCTCTCTATTGGCCCTGATAGATCCTGGCTGTGAACAGAATCTAATTGACTCTGCTTTTGCTCAACAGATGGGAATAGAGCTTATTCCTCTACAGAACCTTCTTCGTGTTTTTGCCTTGGATGGCAGAGATCTGCCTCAGATAACCCACCAGACTATCCCTCTACAACTAACCGTTTCTGGTAACCACATCAAAAACATCTCTTTCTTTGTTTTCCCCACAGCTAACTCTGATTTAACCTTGGGATTCAAATGGCTCCAGGCTCATAATCCCACAATAAATTGGACCAACCTCTGCCCGCCAGTCGCCTATTCAACATTTCCAAGCCTGAGAGGGAGGCATTGGAGAAGTACATTAAGGAGTCTTTAGCTACCGGCATAATCCGTCCCTCATCTTCACCCCTTGGAGCGTGGTTCTTCTTTGTGGGGAAGAAG